CCGAGTTCCCCCACCACTCCGTCCGCGTCTTCCCCCCGACGAATATCAAGGCCAGCGCCCACTACAACCAGGTCATCCACCCCGCCGGCACCCACAACGTCTCCTTCCGCCTCGACGGCCTCACCACCGCCAACCAGACCAACAAGACGGTCGAGTTCTGGAAGCTCAAGAAGGTCACCTGGAAGCTCGAGGAGACCATCAAGACCGTCGCCCCCGCCTGCGAGAAGCACACCCCCGCCGGCACCGCCACCACGCCGCCGACGCAGCAGAAGGGCGCGCCCCGCACCGAGACCCGCGTCCTCGGCGAAAAGTACATGCACGACGGCTGGAAGAGCGACTACACCTCCACCGACGGCCACGTCGAGTTCGAGTTCGACTACGGTGTCATCGCCGGCAGCAGCAAGCACTCCCACGGCCCGCGCTACGCCTGCGACGCAAAGTCCCACGACGGCACCGAGGTCTCGCACGCGCTCATGATCGAGATGGTCGTCTCCAAGGAGTGGGCGCCCATCGGCAAGCCGCACCTCGCGACGCAGACCGGCACCGGCCGCATCCTGCGCATGCACTACCACGTCATGCTCACCGAGTGCCCCGGCCTCGGCGTGAGCTGGGACAACGAGGCGCCGCCCGTCTACCAGGACGTGCCGCCCTCGCCGCCCGCGTACCCCGAGGAGTTGCAGCGGCAGCTGGGCCACGGCGGCGCGGAGGTCCCGCCCGTGGAGTACGAGAGCCTCGAGTCCTTGGACGGGCAGACGCACAGCACCGAGGGGTCTGTCAACGGATCTACGTCATGACACACCCACCAATCTACGAATGCGACATGAAATCTTATTTTTATAGAGTGGAGGAAAGCATAATGTATTAAGAGGTGGAAAACTATTTGGGACAGCGAAACTGGGAAAGGAAAACAAAAAGTTACTTGATTTTGAAACCATTTATTCTTTTGGATTTTACGCACATTATACCCCTCGGACAACGACCGGGCGCCATTTACACCTTCAGTTTACTGTCGATATTTGTTGGTTACTTTTGGAGAGAAATATTGTGGACTATTTTTTGTTATATTTGAAGAATCACGGTGAAAGGACCAGTGGAAGAGAAAGAGATGATCTGAAGCATTGCAAGGCGTTGTTAGTTTCGGTTGTGATGGGGCGGGCGAAGAATACTTCCCCGAATCGGCTTCTCAGCAGCCACTCTGATGTTTTCACTTGCTTTTCCAACAGCGAAATATAGATATAGTAATTACATCACCATTCTCAACTATAACTACGGACTCATGAAACCAGTGAATACACGCTTGTAAACTATGATGATTGAATTCCGCAAGTTGCGCAAGTAATTACGACAGACACAGAGTGCGCAACGCAAGCAGCAACTTAGAGTGTTACATAGGCGGACAAGTGCAGTTACAAAGCCTATGTGGAGACTTTTCGGATACCTAGGCACCTTTTTTACTTTTTGCGCTTCATCGCGATGGATGAGCGTGCTGCGATTCATTGGCAACGAGACAACTGCAACAACGCCCGCTCATCGAAACAGCAGACCCCGAAGACAAAAAAAAATCAAACATGCAAAAGACGTTGCCCCTCCTTGAGTCAAGTGGGATGACATGTGAAGAGAGCGCGCGAATCGGGGATGAACCCTCTACTGGGACATGGGCGGCAAGTTCTAGCCTGCCTGCCTAGTCCCCTGTTGTGCGGCTCAAAAAGACGCATTGTCCACGTTGTCTGGTGTGTTTGCATTGAAAACGCCAGCGGGAAAGAGGGACGGCTAACGGGAACGGCTACGGGTGCTGCATGAGACGACGGTGATGGTTGGGTTGTGTTGGTGTGGGAGTGAGAAGAGTTCGGAGGGGAGGGGTTGATCTTATGAAATTGTTACTTGATGGAAACTGGGGAGAGTTCTAGAACGCAGCGGCAAGCACTTTAAGGATTGGGAACGCTGGGAACGCCGGCGCGGTTAGGTGTTGTCGCCCCTTGGTCTGAGCTTTTTTTTCTGCTCAATCACAGAAGGTAAGGTACTTTGCATCGAATCGTCACGATGACCGCGGCGGTGGATTACGTTTTGGATTTCGATTTGGAGGTTTGCTCCGAGACGGCGGTTAGCCTTTCTGTAGTACGAGTCTCTCGGGCCGCGGTTTGAGTGGCAGAGGCGGGTTTGCGGTTGAAGACAAGAAGGTAGCGCTAACTACTGGGAACTTGGCAGTGTGTGGTCTGGACCGTTTGTGGATGAACGGGAGGTCACAGCTCGGTGGGCGTGAGAATGTTTTGGCGGTGGAGCTTCGTCATGTCACGGCTTGGAAAGTTTGTCGCGGGTAGTTGCAGTTTCGAGAATTGAAATCCATGCATTCAAAGTGGAGGTTAAGTAAGTTTAGGCGGGAATTGAGCGCCGAGACTTGGAAACATTTGCCTTTGTGTGTGGTAGATGAGAACCAGGCAGAGAGAAAACGAAAACGTTGCGCCCAGATGAGGCAGTTGCACCCGCTTGGCTTTGGCTTTGGGGGATGGATTGCGCCATTGTTGCCTCGCGGGATGCGTTCACGATGGCGCGGTGCAAGCTTCAATTGGGCGGGGTGCGGCCTCGTCTTCGGGCAGCCGACGGTACGCCGCCGGGCACGTTTTCGCGCGGTGTGTCTGCTGTGGGACGTTAGCTTCCATGGAAGTGAGCGAGGGCCGGCGGCAGGTGCAGACGCTGTAACCGGCGCACCGGGCCGGTGGTGTGTGCCAGCTCCAACTCCTGTGGCAAGCACCGCCCAGGCCGCAAGGCCGCACGCAGGCATCGGGTGGCATTCCGGGAGGAGGGAGGAGGGGTGGTCGCTCGTCGGGAGTTGAGTTGGGTGTCGGATGTTTTGGAGGCGGGGCGGCGCCCGCCAGGGAAAGCAAAAGCATCGTGAACTTCCGTCGAGTCACCAAAGTCAGGCCGAAGTCATGCCAGAAGGCCGCGAAGGTTGGGCCCTGTGACAAATCGGAGCCGGCCGCGACCACCGCATTGTTGGCAAGACTCAGCACATGCGCCGGGCAGGCGGCGGTGACGGCGGCGGAGGGTCCAAGGAGGACCTGAAGGCGTTTTCTGTTACGTGAGAGGATGCGACGGGAGACGTGCCGGGGAGACCTTCCTCAACCTACCTTACCTTACCTGACGTGCCTTACCTAATGCACCTTTTAGAGAGTACTGGCGGTACGCCAGCGTTGGTACCGCGACGGCGAGCGAGCGAGCGAAACGAACCACGACCGGCTTGGAGCGGGCTGCGTTTGATGATGCAATACCATCGTAGTGGAGCTCCGTTGTGAAGAAGTATTCTACTTTTCCTCCCCTTCCTCTTTTTTTTTTTTTTTTTTTTTTTTTTTTTTTTTTTTTTTGGATGAAATGGAGTCTTTGCTGGGTTGTCCTTCTTCTTCTGACTCTAGCTGGAGCGACGCTTTTCTCGCAGTTTCAAACGGAACGGAGGCTCCGCTCCAGGTCCCCTTTGGTTCCGTTTCCCCCTGCGACAGGCAGACCGCAGGCAAGCACTTTAAACCTACCGTCCGGGGAAATGCGAAAGTTTGCTAAAGAATTTTTCTTCCCTCCCCCCACCGGCGGTTCTCTTTCTTCGTTGATTGATGAAATCGATCGAACCGTGCCCACTTGGTGCCGTCTCGTCAAATGTCCGCATTGGATCGGTTCAAACTTTCCGATGGGATCTTCGCCGGGGCGTCCTTCTCTCAGTCTCAGCGTCACGGATCTCAATTTGCCAAGGATTTCTTCTGCCTTGTGAGCGCAATCAGCGAAGATGACGGCGAGGGAAAGGACAAACGCTCGGCGTGCCCACGAAAACGGAGAGAGCGAAACGCAAAATAAGTTGAGCAAGTTGCAGATTAACAGAGAGGTTTCTGGTTCCCTGGCGATGGGCCACCATCTCGATCGTTACGTCAGGAGGGGCGGCGCAACCTCTGCAAAGTTGGTTGTGGAATCCACATACAATCCCACTTCTTGGTAACACACACAAAAAGGTACTGTATCCTTGTGGGTTTTTCGATGGGTACGGTGAGTCAGAAGATCCACCGTCGACAAAGACCTCTGGGGCAAACACCATACACACACAAACTGCAGACAAAAAAAAGCAAACGGAGTCATCAGACGAGGGAATCTACATAGAACCACATCTGTGGTCCGGCAGCAACGATCTCCACCACCGGAGATGGGTCTCATCGGGATCGTCCCAGGACACCCAACAAACACGGCCGGCTGGCGCAATGGTAGCGCGTCAGACTTCTAATCAGCTTCATGTGCAGTGAAGCGGATCAGTTGTTCATCTGAAGGCTGCGGGTTCGAGCCCCGCGCTGGTCACTTCTCTTTTGCGTGTTGTAATTTCTGTTATAGATTTTGACTCGAAATCTTCATCGAGTCGTGTGGGCTTGCAAAAAAAAGGCTTAGCAACTTTCTTGTTGTTAGCAGTTCGTTTGGGTGTGGGGATCTACGGGCTGGCTTTACGTCTGAGTTGTGAACCCGTTTGTGAGCTTACAAGTCTCTAACGAGAGAGCGTCGTTTCTAGTGTTTTTGTAAGTTGATATGCTGGCTTCATTCACCCCATTGATCAGCTGTCTGGCGTCGCTTACACCGAGAAATCTTCGATATCTGGTCCAATTCAATACTGAGGTAGACACCCCGATTGCCAGCGTCATTCTATAACATTTTATAGCGGTTTCAGCTCGAACTATGTACAAGACAAGTAAACGCTGTCACTTTTTAGCCTTGTTCAAATCTCAGGTCAAACGGGGACAGCTTGCGTGGTCTCTTGTTGTCACATCTCCTGTGTTGTAGGCACCCTATATGGCATATCCAAGGCAAGAGCTTGCTTCCTCACCCAAGTCGCCAGATCAAGTGTTCATCCACCATTGCACTGCTTCAGTACACCAACGAGACTTCCTCTCTGTCTTGAAGTCCTGTCTCTGCTTTAAACCTGCAAGCACACGCCTGGACCGGAGCCTTGCTCTCACCACCTGCTCGTCATGACCGCACCCTCACCCAAACACAACCACATTCTTCCCCTCCCCCTTGCCCCCAAGGTACTCCTGCCTCATCTCCTCCGCCTGCTCAATCCGCCACTCCTTCATCTTCACCTCGACCCCGTGCTCCGCCACCAGCCCCAGCAGCTCCTCCGTGTCCTCCCTGCTCGCGACCAGCGAGCCCACGAGCGTCAGGTCGCGGAATATAACGTCCTTGTACGACATGGTGATGCCCGCGTCCGGCTGGCCCAGCAGCACCAGCGTGCCGTGCTTCCGCGTCACCGCGGCGGCAAATTTGAACGCCGCCGGCGCGTCGGTTGCGAGCACCGTGGCGTCGAGGCCTGGGTACGCGCCGCCCACGACCTGCGCGATTTGCGAGACGGCGTCGGGGGCGGGCGTGGTTGCGAGGATGGCGAGGTCTGGTTTCAGGGGGTACGAGGCGGCGAGGTCCAGCGCGGACTGCTTCACGTCGATGGCGACGACTTTGTAGCCCTGGGGACGCGGTTAGTTGACGAAAGAGAGAGAGAGAGAGTGAGAGAGGCGTGGGTGCGGACCATGGCCTTGGCGAGCTGCGTCCCGATGTGGCCCAGCCCGCCGATGCCGACGATGCCGATGGAGCCGCCGGGCGGGACGGCGGCGCGCTTGATGCCGCCGTAGATGCTTATGCCGGCGCACATGAGGCAGGCGGCCACCGGGTAGGACATGGCATATGGTATCTTGACGGTGAAGCGCCAGTCTCTGGATAGATTGTCAGTATGTTTGTGTGTGTGTGATGCCGCCAGTCAGCAGTCTCGAGCAATGGGGGAAAGGAGAATGGAAAAGAGAATAGAGGAGGACAGGAAAAGGGGGGGGCTGCTGAGGAATGGTTTGTGCGTACGCAACCATGTACTCCGCCCAGGCACCGTCAGTGGTGATCCCCTTCATGAGCATGTTGTCGCAGTAGACCGGCCTCCTGGCCTTGCAGTCGGGGCATTTCCCTTTGGGACAAAAGTCAGCGTTGGCGGTCCTGCATTGATCGGCGAGGTGAGTGTGGTCATGACGACGGGCTCTCTCTCTCTCTCTCTCTCTCTCTCTCTCTCTCTCTCTCTCTCTCTCTCTCTCTCTCTCTCTCACTCTCACTCTCACTCACCACAAGCACCCTCAAAGTTGATGCACCCCACGCAGTCACCCTCCTTGAAGCCCTGCACCTCGGTGCCGACCTCGATGACGACGCCGGCGGGCTCGTGGGACCCGATGACGGGCAGCGGGGAATCGAAGGCGCCCTCGTTGACCATGCAGTCCGTGTGGCAGAAGCCGGCGGCGCGGACGCGGATGAGGAGCTGGTGGGGCTCCGGCCGCGGGACGGGCACGCGGGAGACGGCATACGGCGCGTTGAAGCTCTTGAGCTGGATGGCCTTCATCGTTTTCGGGAGGGGAGCCATCGTTCTGGTTGCGGTTCGGCCCCGTGGGAAAATGGAAACTGCCTGTCTTTCTGTAGTGAATTTCCAAGCCTATACTGCTCTCTGTCTTTCTGTGAAGTGAGACTGTTGAAGTTGCACCTGGGTTGTATGTGATGTGATTTTCCGTGGATCGCGGGGTAAAAAGGTGAGTTAAGGCAGGCAGGACGTGGTGGTAGGTGCTTTTGTTTGGGCAGGGGAGAGCTTTGATTGTCAACGTCATGGCGGGCGACCCGGGCGAATCCGCTAAACGCGAAGAAACACGGCTGCGCTTGCGGTTGCGGTTGCCCGTCGTCCACAATCGATTGCTGATACCCTAAGAGCGAGAGGATACGACAAAACGGCGCCGAAGCGAGGCAATACGACGGCCGAACGACGCTCGGTTGTTCAGAGGTGGAAGCCGGTTTGCGCGGCGCTTACACGTATCGCGACGATGCCTCGCTGAACTTGATCCTTTTTTTTTTTTTTTTTTTTTTTTTTTTTTGCGCTCACCTATGCTCACTCACTCATAAGCCCAGAACCTTGAACCACGAGCAGCTGGGCACAGATGTGGCTCATGTGGCGTTGCTGCTGCACCAAGCGAGCGTCTTCCGTTCAGCCGCCTCCGCCGCGCAACGGGCATTGATGACGGGCAATTGAATATTCAGCGCGGGCTGGCCGACTCTTCATTCAGTGCCTGGCTGTCGACGGGACCGCTTTGACGGAATACATGTCGCGGCATCAAATAAGCAACTGAGAACGGGATATGGATCCCGATATGATGGTGATCCAGATTTACAAAATCGCGGGAATGTCACCCGGCGCCTTAGGGCGTCGTCCCACCCCGATCACGCGACCGGGAGAAAAATCGGCGTCCAAACAGCACGGCGGGCCCCCGCCGGCGATTTCCATTTCAAATCACGCCCGCATTTGCAGCCGGCCCCGGAAGTGGGTCCGCCGAAGCCAGCCGAAGGGAAAAAAGGCTTAGAAATACAGCACCGCCTGACTAATGCCCCTCTTCACTGGTTAACGGTGATGCAATCACGAAAGGATGGTGTCACTCACTCCCGGCCCGCACTCCGATCTGTTTTAAAAAGGGGGCCGGCCTTCTTCACCCCGCACAACTCTTCTGCAGATACCGCAATTGGCATCATTGCATCCTGACGTCGGCTTTTCCCGAGACCTCTCCTCTGCTGTGCTGTGAAGCCGTATTATGAGCACGATCCTCCGACGACCACCCCAACTCACAAGACGCATACTTCCCCGCATCACCCACACCACAACGCAACCCCGCCACCAGCACATCGCAGCCATGACCACCGGCGTCTTCCGCTACGTCGACCCGGCGACCCTCGCCGGCGACAACAGCAAGCCCTGGACCAAGGTCGATACGGACGTGACCTCCTTCAGCCGCACCGAGCGCCGGCGCTCCGTGACCAACATCCGCGACGCGGGCGCCGACACCTTCGGCACCGACGTCTCGGGCTTCGCCGTCTACCACGCGCCCGCGGCCGAGAAGGCCTTCACGGACGAGAAGGCCGTGCGCGAGGGCTACTACGCCGAGGTCGAGGCGCTGCTGCGCGCGAAGCTGCCGGGCGTGAAGAAGGTCGTCATCTTCGACCACACGGTGCGCCGCCGCGAGAAGTCGAGCCCGCGCCAGCCGGTGCAGCAGGTGCACGTCGACCAGACGCCGCGCGCGGCCGAGGTGCGCGTGCGCCGGCACGTCGAGGACGCGGCGGAGGCCGAGGAGCTGCTGAAGGGGCGGTACCAGATTATCAATGTGTGGCGGCCGATCGGGCACCCCGCGACGGATTTCCCGCTGGCGGTGATTGATTGGCGGACGACGGTGCCGGAGGACTTGGTTGCGGTGGACTTGTTGTATCCGAAGAGGACGGATGGGGATGACGATGATCGCGGGAAGGAGGTTTTGCCGGATGAGACGCTGGCGAAGTCGATTGAAGGGTATGAGGTTAAGGGTGAGTTTTGGCACTTCTTTTGTGAAATTGTGAGAGACTGGGAGAGGATTTGCTGACATTTGAGGACAGGCGAGACATATGCTATTGCGCCGAATGACAACCACAAGCTGTACTACATGAAGGACATGACGCCCGACGAGGCCATGTTCATCAAGTGTTTCGACTCGAGGAGCCAGGGGCTGCCGGGGGGTAGGCAAGGACTTGCGGGGTTGACGCCGCATACTGCTTTTGTGGATCCTGCTACGCCTGCAGATGCTAAGGGTCGGCAGAGTATTGAGGTCAGATGTTTGGTATTTTATGATGATTTGTCGCCAAGGGAGGGTGCATTTAGAAAGTAAATATTTGGAAGAACAGCATGAAGTTCAGCCCCGTATGAATAAAGAACACGACAAAACAATGAGAACATAATTCAATGAGAATACCAGCATATATCCGCTTATAGTGAGAATGAGTTGTGTGCGTATGGAGGTGTTATTCAAAGAGTGCAATTTGTAAGTAACATTGACAAGGGGTATCTAAATATGTTGATGACATATGTACAGCGACCGACGTAGTTGCAGGAGCAGCAACTTGACATTATCCAGAGGTATATCTTCAAAGATGGTGGCGATGGATCATCATCCATCCTAGTTCGACTGGTAGACGGCCACGTAGGCGGTCTCCATCATGCTTCCGTAACCGCCCAAGGTGTTGCCGTCGGGGTTGCCGGGCTATAAACAGTTAACAAAACTCACTTTCCATCAGACCATTCGAGGAAACTCACCCAGTTGCCCCCAACAGCAACATTCAGAATGAAAAAGAGCGGCGCGCGCGCAAGCGTGTTCCAGATCGCCTCGCTCCCGATACGCGCGCCGGTAATCTGGTGAAACTGCACTCCGTCGCGGAACCACGTAATACTCTCCGTCTGCCAGTAGTTAGACCTCCGGTCGATCTGCACCCGCCACGTGTGCCACCCCTGGTCCGGGATCCCCGTCGCCGCCCCAATACCATTGGGCTCGTTGCACGCGCCGCCGGGGTTGACATCGCAGTGCACCGTGCCGTACCCCGTCAGCGCGCCGTTAACCGTCTCGAGGATATCCAGCTCGCCGCAGCGCGGCCACCCGACGCCGTTGCGGATCGCGTCGCCGAGCATCCAGAAGGCGGGCCACATGCCCTTCTTGTTCGCGATCGCGTTGTCGCCGAAGCGGATGTAGCCCTCGGCGAGCGTGAGGCGGCCCGCGGCGGGCGTGAAGGTGTATCTGGACTCGATGCGCGCCGAGGTCCAGCCGTTGGAGGCGGAGGCGTCGCGCCAAGGCACGATCTGCACGGTGCTGCCGCCCGAGAGCTGCAGGTTGGCGCGCGAGGTGGTGTAGTCCTGCAGCTCGTTGTTGACGCGCAGGTTGGTGATGATGTTCCAGTTGCCGGTGTTGATGGCGGCGCCGGCGGCGCCGGCGAAGTTGTCTTGCCAGATGCGGGTGAAGCCGGAGTAGGAGGGGGCGTCCCAGGCCGCGACGAGGGCGGCCGGGAGGAGGAGGAGGTGATGGAGATGCATTTTTGGTGCAGGACTTGGGTAAGGAATGTGTGTGTTTGTTTGCGAGCCTTTGTGCAGGAAGGAATGTGTTTGCGATGGACTTGAAGAAACAGGAAAGGACAGTGAGAGACCAAGAGGCTTTTTAAAAGAGGGAATGAAACGAGTCTATCGTGAAGAGAATGACATGTCTTGGAAAGCAAGATCACGATGGTGATGACAGTTGCGGGGCCAAGCGCGGTGGTGGGTTGAAGGAGTGCTCATGAGAACAGGATGACAGCGGTCATCATGGGACTCGACTGTTATATACAACAACCCCATATTGAGAGCACCCCATATCGAGGGATAGCCTCCGGCATAGAAAAGAAGATGCCGTGCCGGCCAAGGCAAGCTTCGGCCCTTGCGACGGAACAGTTTGCTGGAACAACACCTGCAGGACCAAGTCCAGACCGCAGCTGCAAGGTGCCTAAATGCTCGGGGGGATGAGGAAAGACACTCGTCTTTCCCTTTCCAAGTTGACAACAGACCCCCCTCCCCCGAGTCTCAGGAGATTCATCCAATCTTCAGCAGCGATGCTGATTCGAAAGGAAGGGCGGATGGCAGTCTGGCTCATATATCCTTGGCCCCATCTCTCTCTGGGCACCCGGTTCTGGGGTTGCACAAAGGTCCATGCAACATCAGATGGACACACGCTGCTGGCCCCTTCTTCGGACCCCACGAGAATAAGGAAGCACGCGGCCGAGGCAGCGGCGCGCTGCCTCGAGGACAGCTCATCGACGCCGACTGATGGTGGGAGACCTATATGTCGTAATATGTTTCCCTTGCTTGTTGCGCCGAGGGCTCGGCCACGCAGGACACATGTCTGTGGCGGTCATTGTTCCCGAAACAGGCATGGGGACATCTCGACAAACGTGCATGGCCTGGAAAAGAAATGACAAAGGGCTTCACTGGGTAACCAATGAAGATGCTTATAAGCCAAAAGCCCGAATCTGGACTTTCAGTTCCCCCCAGACGGCTTCTCTCCCCCGCCCTGGGGAGGATGTGTCGGCAGAGGCGTTGTTTCAATCTCAAGGATCTGCCAATCACTGGCGAAGGGCGCGGGTCCTTTAAAGAGGCGCGCCGCCCCCGGGAAAGTGTGGATGATTTGCGCACGCTCGGTACCAGCGGCGCGGCCCATCTCTGGGCGATCTGGTTGGTGGGAATGGAATGGGCTGTATAGCTCTTTTCCTAACACCCTTGGACTGCCCACGCGGGAAGTGGCATTCGGCTCAGCAAGCCCTTCCGGGTGACCCCTGAAAAATGAGAAAGGCAATCCACACTTTATTTGCCTGCATGGGCCGCTCTCTTCCTTCCCGCCCCTCGCCAAGCGGAGGGAACGCTGGTGTGTTTTCGTCATGGCCAGTCACGTTCGAGATGGTGACCAAGCTTGGGTGTTGGCGAGACCACAAATTAGGCGCAGAGAGATATTGGACGGCTTGCGTGCGACGGGGGCCAGTCAGAGGAGAGAATGGTACCTGAACGCCACCGCGCTAGCGGCAGTTGTGTAACTAGCGCCGCTGTATGGCAGCTGCGAGATCTAGACAGAGCGAGTGTGGTACTTTTGTGGTAAGTGAGTAAACTAGCCTCGTCTGCTCCCTTTGGGTCCTTGGAGGTGGTGGGGTTGTAGTGTTCGCGGTTTGGGATGAATCATGGGAAAACATGCAGGTCAGCGACAACAACATGAAAATGCACGAGGGGGCCAAACGGGGGCCACCTGCGTCTTTGACAGGTGTCTTGGGAGGTCTCGGCAGGGAGTTTTGTGTGTTTGCTGCCCTCTCTTGGTATTGAGCCAGTGGGCAGCTGATGTTGGTGCGGACCAAGCAGAGCGAGGTTTCAAGCAAATGTTGGCAAATAACGGGTATTTGTCCAAGTTGGAAAAGAACAGAAGACTTCCAAGTAGCAGTGCATGTGAAAGTGGTCGATGGCACCTTGCCAATATCGGGATTAGGGCGGGTGAGAGGCGGCTAAAGCGACGTGGGCAGCATCCCTCAGTTGGCGGCGATCCGGGCTGTGATTGGCTGCTTATTTAAGTGCAAGGGGGTCGTGATCCTGAAGGGGAGCTGTCCCAGTGGTGCTGCTGCTGATTGCTGGGTCGTAGCCATGCGATAGCCCCTGAGTCCCTAAGAAAACAAGGCCCAATAAGGGGAGCACAAATCTCCAGAGCGGAGGAAAAGATCCCATGGTGATTTTTTTTTTCTCGTCGTGCGTCATGAGAAACCGTCATGATTCATGAAGGTCTTCCCATTGAGTAAGAGGTGTCCGGCGTCATGACATGCTGCAGTCACCAGCTCCGGGTCACTGGGGCGGCACCTGGTGGCCCCTCTTTTTTGGTGTCTCCCGACCGGTGCGCCGGCGCTTACCCCACACTTTTCCCCGTCTCAGATTCGGCGCTGTCGGGCCCATTTCGGGGTGATTGTCGCATCGGACGGGTCAGGCGACCGCGTCACGAATCCCACTCGTCTCTCGGCAAATGCAATGTTCTAGAATTTTTCGACGGCATTCCTGTTTGTGCTCCTGCTAAGCCGAGGCTGCGCTCGCAGCGCCGCATTCGCGAATACCCTCACTGATGTTATCAATTGTGGACCAGAATTGCTTTTTGCGATGCAGATTCCAGGTTTTTGAAGGCCCACGTGACGTCTCATCGTTGCGTTCGATCTCCAACCCCCTCTTTTGATGCTTTGACTATAACACCGCATGTCTGTTCAAGTATTGAAAGTAATTCAGCATCGATGCTATTATTTGCGTTAAATCATCTGTCTTCTCTTAACTGCACTGCACCCGGAGTTGCCATATATAAATCAACATGTCATACGTCGGAGTTGGTCCAGTGGTCGAGGTTGACTCCATCGGCGAAGAATCGGATGTCAACGGCAGCCGAAAACGGATCCGATCAGACGCAGACGACAAGACGGACTCGAAAAAAACCAGAGACCACATATCGCAAGAGTTGGACGAACTAGGCGACCTGACCCTCCGTGTTGGCCCGGAGCAATCAACCTTCAAAGTCTGCTCCAGAACCGTCGCGCGTGCATCTCCGGTCTTCGTGAGGATGCTTCACGGACGCTTCAAGGAATCTCGCCCGGAGTCAAGCGATTGGATCGTGGACCTGCCCGACGACGACACCGAGTCCATGCAGATCATGCTGAACATGATGCACGCGCGCTTCGACTGGGTGCCGCAGGGTATCTCCATACAAGACCTCTACGAAATGCTGGTTCTCGTTGACAAATATGACGCCCTCGACGTTATACGGCCGTGGGCCCGAGGATGGGTTGATTCCGTGAGTGAGGACCTGGATCAGCCTGCGCTGCTTTGGATAGCGTCGGAGTTGGGCGATTCTGCGCTTTTTGGTAAAGTGGTCATGGAGATCGCGACAAAGTGGACGGTTGCCTTGGACGGCGCCATCATCCCTCGTCCCGCTCTTTTTTTCTGGGAACGGGCAGCTTACGTACAGAAAGTTGAGAAAGCTGGGCCGCTATGGATACCCGAGCATGGATACCAGGAGAGAACAAGCCCTGTGACTCTGGATTTTATGAGAAGTCTGAAGGCATCAGAGCTGGCTGGTAAGTGAGGCCACCATGCGAAGAAGAACATTTACTGATGCACCGCCTCGATAGAAATCATCAATCATGCTCGCAAAGAACTGCTGATGTTGGAACTTCTTCCATATTGGTCTGTTATTCAGGAAATCCACAACGGTGGTTACACGAAGAGACTCATTGATCCGGAAATGATGGATGGAGAAATGTGTCTCGAATATGCCAACGACCACTACGATTGTGGCGCAACCCTACTATCCCGCCTATTGAATGGTTTCCATAGACTCGATAGGCAGGAGCAACTTCCAGTTGGCAACGGCTTGCAAGGCTCAGGTTTCGCCCACCACTACCGAAAGACGGTCACAGCTTTGAGAGACACTCTGGCCAAGGCCACGTTCTTTGAAATCGAAGACCCAATGGCCTACGAAGGAACGACCTGCGATGGCTGTGCGGAATGGATTGAGGCAACTTTACAGAAGGAGCAGGAAGCGAGAGATTGGTCAAAGATCCTGTCATCGATTCGCTCCGTCAGCGAGGACCACCAAGGATACATGGCGCAGCGAGGTGTGAGAACGGGACTCTATGTTGATAAGGCCGAGGACAAGAACTAGACCAGGGACTGAGGGAAGGCCAAAAGCAAAACAAAAAACAAAAACAAAAAAGGAGTTTCGGGTCTGGCGTTGGAGGTATGGATATTAGCCAGTGCGGCGCATACAAGTTGGCGCTTTCAGTATTAGTAGCACTGGTTACAGCAAAAAAGACATGCGAGAAATGACCAATCTTTCTTCATAAGGGATAACACAACGGCTTGACGACGAAATAACCCTCAGCTATTTGCACAGTCCAATGCACCCATTCAAAACTTCGATCCAATTTGTTCACTACGTCAATTAACTTCACAACTTCCTAGGTCTCTTGCATGCCACTAGGACGTAAGTCCCACAGCCCGCCAACATCGAGAGACCTCCAAACAGTTGCGCGTACAGATAGTTGCCGTCGTTGATCGCAATCAATCGTCCTCCGATCGGTGGTCCCGTGAAACAAGCAACGCCGACAACCGCCAAAACCATGCCCACCTTGGTGCCGACTCTCGTAGGATCTGTACTTAAATCGCCGACGGCGGCCGGGAAGAGACTCTGAGTAGCATTTGCAGCAATCCCGTAAATGACGGCCCAGCCAAACAGCCCACCGGTGGAAGACACTCCCGCCCAGCCAAGGATGAGAATACCAGTTACGCCGACGACGGGAATCAGCGTGTTCAAGATTCCGAAGTATCTGTCGGCAAGCAGAGCGGGAATAACTCTACCGAAGAGCCCCACGCCATTCATGACGATGATGGCAAGCAGCGATTGCGTCAATGAGAAATCCAGAACTGAGCGACCGAATATGCCAATCTGGACGAGTCAGACGAAGGGATAATGCGCTTGAGAGTCAAGACTTACGTAGAAATAGGCAAAGTAGATACCCCAGAGGGCAAAGAAGGAACCAACAGCGAACAATGTGTACGGCAGCTCAGTGAATGCACGAAAGTCAAACAGCGAGCGAGGTTTCCGGGTGGCAACACGCGTCCTCGTGAAGCAGAGAATCATCGTTGCGTTGAAAGTGATTACGCATCCCATGATGATGACCGTCCATCTGAAACCCAACCTCGGCATTGCAAAGTAAGCAATGATGGGGAAAACCATACCGCCTGTTGAGGCGCCGCAGGTGGCCAAAGAGACAGCCACGGCGCGGTTCTTCTTGAAGTACGTCGGAAGAATGGAAACGATGGGTGCGAACAGGAAACCGTGACCGAGACCGCTGCAGACACCTTGAGCGAGAAAGAGCTGCCAGTACTGTGTTGAGAAGGCAGTCAGGAAGACACCGGCGACTTGGAATGCGCAGCCGATGCTTAGTGACATGCGGAAATATCCCGAATCAACCGTCCGGCCTGAGAAGAAGCCGACGAAGTTGAGCAGAAACATCTGCATGGATCCTATCCATGATATGTCAGAGGCTGTCCGCTGCAGTTGCTCAACGTAGTACTGTTGAAAGAAGCCAAAGCTTTAGCAGGTCAGCATGATCCAGCGTCATCAGAACTAAACTCACGATGTGATGTATCCCCAGCAGTTGAAGATGACAAGATGACCCATGGCAACCTGCGTCCACGCCAGCAAGCCGCCGTCTGGAGTATCGCCATACTGTCGTTGCTGCTCTGCCACAGATGCTACCGTAGCAGAGGTGCGTTCACGGCCATCTGCGCCCATGGTGCCTGACTTCGAGCAGACACTGAACCGGTCGTCCGATGCTTGGACATGCCTTCATCCAGGAAGACGAGAAGCGTGTGCGTCTGAGGTGTTTGTTTCTGCGATCAGCTGACTTGGATGATGAGCTCAAGGGGCGGAAACGAGAAGCGTAGATCGTTTCGTTTCATGGGCGTCCTAGAACAGCTAGAACGGGACGTAGTCAAATGCAACCTCACCTTCATCCTGGTACAAGACGACATTCTGCAGGTTGTATTTGCCGACGGCTTTTCAACGTTGTCGGCAAAATCGAATCCCCACGATGGCGGCAAGATTGTCTTTTTTCGGACCGGTCCGCGATGTCATGCCAGGGACCCAGAATGGCGTCAGATCAAACGACAGGGGCAAGCGAACTCTAAACTGCATGCCAAGAAAATCACGACTCAGCTCAGAAAGAGGTTCGGTGTAAGTGGCTGTCCAATGGTGATGAAATATCAGTCAGTGATCGGAGCAGGTAGAATGCAGTTCCTCCAGGCGAGACTACGACGGACTGGCCTTCGACACAACTGACCATGTTTCGGCGACTTTCATTCTTCATCGTTGTGGTATCTTTGGGCCATGTTGCGCGCTCAGCTTTGCAGCTGGCCGGCACGACTGCCTTTTTGGGCGGCAACACATACTGGATTGAACCACAGGCTGTCGGGAACCTCCCGAAAGACATCATTGCCAAGGCTTTCTACAATCACACGGAAGCCATGGGAGGGTTTGTTCCTTTGAGTGTAGTTCGCTCCGCAAATCTGACTGTGGGAGCGCTTGCGAATGAGTTTGCCCGTTTCCATGCACAAGATGATGTCTGGAACCAAGGGTTTTCGAGTGGTGGGTGATCTCTTGTCCGCCAAACAGAGAAATACTGATACATTCCAGTCATCATTCCCAAACTGTCGACGATGGCGAAGACAAAGGCGTATCCGTCAAACAAGAAGACGGATGGACTATTGTCATTGACCAGCTAAGGAACGAAACGCAAAGGATTGCAGAAGGACCATACTTTCTGTCCTTAGAAGGGACTTTTCACAGAGTGTTTCGACTCTATTCTGACTCCCAAGCGGCGTTTTCCGAGACCATCTACACCGATGTTACTGGAAACCACTCAGTCCTCCCCGCCGGTGTCCCGGGCGGAGGTCTCGCAATTGCAGTTCCATCACGCCTTTACTACAAAGCAACCCCAGAGAAGCCGCTCGCAGGCGTTCGTCTCGGCGTCAAAGACATATACGACATCGCAGGGATCAAAACCGGAAATGGCAACCGGGCCTGGTACAACCTCTATCCTCCTGCAAACCGGACTGCACCAGCGGTACAAACCCTCATTGACGCGGGCGCTGTGGTCATCGGTAAGGTGAAGACAGCTCAATTCGCCAATGGCGAGTTTGCGAACGCCGACTGGATCGATTACCACTCCCCGTTCAACCCCAGAGGAGACGGGTACCAGGACCCCAACTTCTCCTCTGCCGGCGCTGGAGCAAGCGTCGCCTCATACGAATGGCTGGATATCGCCCTTGGGTCCGACACGGGCGGAAGTATCCGGGGCCCCGCCCGTGTCCAGGGTCTCTATGGGCTGAGGCCCTCCCACGGGGCAGCTTCTCTGGATCACACCCTACCCCTGGCTCCGGAGTTCGACACCGCGGGGCTTATCGCGCGGGACCCCGCTCTGCTTCGGGATGCGTCCGCTCATCTGTACGGCGTTTCGGTGTATTCTTCCAGCGACTTCCCCAAAAGCCTGCTCTTAGAGTCTTATCCCGATGGGCTGAGTCATGAGACGACAGCAGCTTTGAATCGATTCCTTGATGGATTGAGGGACTTCCTTGGAATCCAGACAATCACGCAATTCAACATCACCAAATTGTGGCAAGATTTACGACCGCCCGCGGCTCCCGAAACGCTCAACGGCCTTCTCAACACGACCTACGCGACCCTCATCAGCCGACGTCAGACCGAACTGGTCCGGGATCCGTTCTACGTCGACTACGGCCGTCTGCACGACGGGCGGCTCCCGTTCGTGAACCCGGTACCCTTGGCGCGCTGGGCCTATGGCGATAGTCTACCAGAATCCGCAGCTGAAGATGCCGTTAGGAACATAACGTTGTTCAAGGACTGGTTCCAAGACGTGGTACTCAAGACCGATAACAGAACATGCTCGTCGTCTATCATTGCGTACGCCAGCCCGCCAGTTACCCAGTACAGAAATGTTTACCGGAGCCCTCCGACCATCCCTTTTGGATTCGCAACTTCCTATTTGAGCGTGTTCGCTGGGGTTCCAGATCTTGTTATTCCAAGTGAGTTATGTGTTCGGGCTTATGCCGATCCAGTACTGACTCGCCCTTAGTTGGTCAAACCCCCTACAATTCTTCCATCACGAAGCATGTTGAGAACTTGCCAGTCACCGTCAATCTGATAGCCGCTGCTGGTTGTGAAAACATGCTTTTGAGTCTCGTCACTGAGCTAGCAGGGGCTAGCTTGCTGGCCCCCGCGGCAGTCGGAGCAAGCTCAGTAGACGGCGGAGAGATTCTGCGGAGATTCTAGGCCTGGAGAAATGCTGCCCAGGGGGTCCCTAGTTGTCTGATCACGCAAGATCAGACTCACCGAGAAAGGCAAGTGGTGTTTCTGCCAAGAAGCACAGGGTAGTATCAACTCGGTAACCCTGGTGGCCCACATTGTCGGTATTGGTGTCGTAGATCCATCAACACGAGGTCTTGAAGAGTGTCTACTGGGGTGACCCAATGGCGCAATCAGTGCAATCCATTGTCAAAGTAGTTGGAGATAGCTTGTTCATAGCCCTGAAGATCAGACGACAGTGCATGTAACATCACTTATAGCATGTCAAAGACTTCTATTTATTTGACAAAGCATCATTCGCTGATAGCATCCATTTTTGACTGTAACTGCCATAGCTGCAATGGCATCACTACATGTATCCCAGCCCGAAGTCGAATCCATCCTCGTCGTTCTTCGACAATTTTCCCAGCATGAGGCACAGCCCGCTTCCAATGAGCGCCCCGCATATGAAGCAGTGGTAGCGAACAGACTGCGGGAATTTGATGTGGCTGGGGAGCCGATATCTCTGCTTCTTCCAGCGTTTCCTTGGAAGAACCCCAACACTGACAAGGTGTTGGGCCCAAGTCCAGATTTGGGAGAGGAGCTAGGATTGGCTAGACTGAACCATCTCTGCAAAGAGGTTGGGAAGATTTACCCGCGCGGAGCACGTCTGATCCTGGTTGCGGATGGCCCCGTTTACAATGGTATGTCCACTGCTCACCGACGCCACCGACGTATGACTCGTGCTTGAGGAATGATATGCTCACATGGGGACGTCTAGATCTTCTCGGTATCCCGGACGCAGACTACTTCGATTATGGAGTTCAGCTTCGGGAATTGGCAAGACGAGAGGGGTTCTCACACGTCCAGTTTGTTCGCTTAGTCGACGTGCTTGGCCTCGGAAACGGCGATGCCATGTCCAAGGATGAACATCTCGCCGCAGCTGAGACTTGTCGGCGAGAGATGGAGCAGAGGTTCCTCGGTTCAGACCTCAGCGTCCAGGGCGAGGTTCGGGCCCACCCCGACACAGCACTCACGTACCAGAAGTACGTGAGATCTGCGCGAGAGGATCTCCGCTGGGGTCCCGAGGTTGAACCCGATATCACATCAGACGCAGCCAAGTATGCAGCTGAGACGGAGCGGATCGCTGAGCGGATGACACAGAGACTGATTGTAAGCACCTTGAACCGAGTTCATGCGCGTACCCTTTACTGATCACATTTTGACAGGCATACGAAAGAGCCCTTGAGCACAAGTTCCCACGAGTGATCAGGCTATCCATCCACCGATCAACGGGGAAAAATAAGATCTCGATTCCACTGATACCCCAGCCTGGAGGGTTCGGACTCACACCTTGGCACTCCACTCTCTTGGTGACAGCCGACGGAGAATTCCGCACAGAGATGTCCAAGGATCTACAAGACACGCAAAAGTACGAGATTATTAAGCGTGATGGACAACCATACTTTGTGCGGGAGAAGCATTTGGATTTTGACTGGCCGAGTCATGTCACGATCCACCACAAATATGGAGGACTAATTGTGCTGGAAAACACTTCAGAGATCGAGAGCGACAAGCTGTTGACTCATGAGCTTGAGCTGAAGCTTGCGAGTTTATCCCTTAGACGGGGTGGCGTAAAGGTTCGAGGATTCAAGACGTTGCATGCCTAAAGTGTAAATCCGCATGACCTTATCATTTGTCACGATAATTATGAAGTAGCTCTCTTTGAATGAAGAGTCATTCCGGCATCTTTCCGATGCCTGAATTGCGAATAATTCATGATACTGGGAAAGCTGCGTCAGTTTGCCGTTGCACGGAGTTTCGGAGTTTTCCCGTAAGCGATGAGCCAGGGGCAGGCCACGCCTCCGGTACAAATGGTGACAACAGGCCGAGATACAGCGTTGTGGATTACGGGACTGGAATGATTGCCGCCAAGTTGCAGGTGTCAATTCAACCAAAGACGCAACCGTAAGTTAATACGACCCTTCTGGTAGATTTGGCAGTAGTTGGGTAAGGACTTCAATTCAACTTGAGACATTTAGCACACCCCTAGGAATAGATTCATGTTATGTTATTGCAGTAAACATGACAGAGTCTCCCAAATTTCCGATCACTTACAATGGCCATCGGAGTAGACTTCCTATTGAGACTACATTCGTGTATCCCCGGTTTCAAAGATAAAGTTACATTGCAATGGAGACATTACTGGAATAGAACAAGCTTGAGGTGGTGCAAGCTGCAGTGCCACATGGCGTGCTCTTCAAAGTAGGAGCATGTCACTTTTCAGGTATGCATTGAGTTTGCGCGAGGTGATTGGTTTGAAATAATTCAAGCTGTGAGGGTTTCAAAATCATAATTAGACGACAGTGATCACAACTAAGTGCATGTCACACTCGACATCCAGTCACCTTTGTCACTTTTGCAGGACAATTAGATCAACCTCACTCTTGTGAATTTATCCCATAATGTCTACCACAGAAGTAGTAACGACAGACCTGGCATTTATCTCATCCGAGACTTACATCAATCTCTCTGGCTCGCGTCACCTGGCTCACACGGCCGCTATCCACGTCCACAAGCCAAGACAAGCACCTCGGCCTTCCGGTACCAATTCCAGGGAACAGCACATCAACAATGAACAAGGGAAAGAACAATGGGATACTGTCTCTTCCGTCATGGATATTCTAGAGAAATTCAGTCTCCAGCAACACGGAAATGCCCTCTTTATTGGCCGAGATGTGTTCGCACCATGTGTCAATCGACATGTTCTTGCAGGACGACGAATTCCCATGGTGCTCCCAGCGTTTCCTGCCAAGAGCATCAATCGTGTCGACAAGGTGTTGGGACCTCATCCAGACCTGGGCGAGGAACTGGCACTGGACAGATTGAATGATCTTTGCTCTCAGATACAGAATATCTATGCCCCAGGGGCAACAGTTCTGATTGCAACAGACGGCGCATGTTACAACGGTAGGCATCAGCCACCTTACAGTGCTCTTCTCATGGGGGTATTAAGCGACGAGTTTACTGACTATGAACAGATCTTACCGGTGTCACAGACGATGACCTCTGGGAGTACGGTGTCACTTTACGTGAGATGGCCGCAAGCAAGGGATACCGATGCATAGAGTTCGTGCGCATCATGAATCTCTTAGGATTGCATAATGATTCTACGATTACGAAAGAAAGATTCATCAGTCTGCTCGAGCCATCACGGCAGGAATTGATGAGAAGATATGTTGATCCTGACTTTGACGCGAATTTGTGCATCAAGACGGACCCCGACTACAAAATGACCTTCGATGGCTACGCTAAGTTTTTGAAAAAGGACCTGGCATACGGCCCGATCAGAAACTCAGCGATCAGTGGGAAGAAGTACAAAGCAAAGGTTCACGAAACCGCCAAGGCGATGATTGCACGAGGCGTAGTGAGTAGTTTCCATCTCTGAGCGCATGCTCAACTCAGCTAAAAACATCTCTAGGCGTTTGCAGAGCTGATTCGGGAGAAGCTACCTGAGCACGTCAGACTCTCCATTCATCCATCAACAGGCTTGGCCAAAATATCAATGCCACTGATTCCCCAGTCGGACACGTTCTCCATGACGCCCTGGCACTGCGCAGTAGCTGTTGATGTTGAAGGAAATTTCAGAACTGGACACCTTCCCACATGGAGAGATACTCACGAACTTGTGTATCGAAACGGGCTACCGTACTTTTTCAGAGAGAGGTCGACGCTGTACTCCTGGGACGCAAAGGTGGACTTTGAGCATGTGTATGGCGGCGGAGTTGTCGTACATAATGTGGGAGGCGCAGAGCAGACCAAGGCATCTCTGTCAGTCTCAGATCAAAAGAAGGCTGCTTCGCTCGCGGTGCTCCAAGGGAGGATTCTATTTCGTGGCTTTGTATAGGTACAAACTTTTTGCTCACTGGATATTCTATGATACAAGTTGTTGAGATAGCTGCTATGTACCATTTTCAACGAAGCTTCAAGCGCACATAGCACTGAACAGGTTTCCGTGTGAGACTGGTAATACTATTGTAACTCGACAAGTTCTCTGGGCACTTTTGGAACTCAAACGACCACGCCAAGGTGGTGACCAACAGCTTCATCTCCATGTATGCCAACTTCCGTCCAAAACAGCCTCGAAGTCCAAGACCAAAGGGTAGAGTTGGACCAGCAGCAGCATTGAACTCATCCTCGCCGTTCTCATTCCGTATAAGCCAGCGCTCCGGTCTGAACATCTCCATCCCGTGGCTGTCCCAGACTCTCAGACCAAAGTCCTTGGCTGCCTTTTGGCAAGATGGGCTACGTAGGCGTTCATCAATCTCATACCCTGGCTCGGTGAAACTGGGACCCTTATTCGGGACCATCACGAGGGTACCCTTGGGGATGGCATGTCCTAGGATGATGGTGTCTTCTTTGCAATCTCTATCCTGGCTGGCTGCTGTGTGGGCAAGTCGAAGCATTTCTTCAATGACTGCGTCTAGATACGGTATCTTCGCGTCGCAAATCTCGGAATGTGTAGGGAGTCGATTTTCGGTCGCAGCAGCTGAGTGAAAGCTTCGGAGACTGTCGAAGAGTCTTTGCTGAACTGATTGATCATCCGCCATGTACTTCAGACCCCAGCACAGAGTCGTGCTCGTCGTGTCGTGCCCGGCAACAATGAAGCCGGAAGTCTAGACCAATGGAAGGTCAGCATGTGATCTTGAGTGGTCACTTGAGCGTTCTTCTTACCTCGTCCCTCATGGTCTCGATCCAGTTGGGGAGAAGGTGACCTTCTTTCTCCACAACCCCGTTCAGTCGTCGAACCATCAAGTCAATTGCGGACTTCACATGTTTTTCTTCGTCGCCAGCATTCTGAACTTGGAGTTTGAATCTCTCCGACGCCTGCAAGACCTGATCCACAAGAAACTTGTCTCGTACAGCTCTTGTCCGACGGACACTAGGCATAAGCCCAATGATTGACCATGCAAGCCTTGGAAACCCAG